GAGAGGGGGCCTGGTGGTCTGGTGGCCGTCTGGCTGCCTCCCCAGCACCCTGCAGGCAGCGCGGGGGGCAGTGAGCCCAGCTTTCTGCCTGCTTCCCGTGGGCTGGAGCCGAGGGGAGAGGGCACAGGAGTCGTGCCAAATGTTCCTGTGACCGCGCTCACCGGCCCTGTTCCCTCCTGGCCCCGGTTGGTTTTGCCAGAAGAACAATCTGTGGGATCTCCCACAGGAAACATCTTTCATTTTCTCACTGTAGGCCTTCATCGGCACTTGACAAACAAATATTATCTCAACTGCATTTCCATCTTGCCTTGTCCCTGTACCCTGCTGAGCTGCAGTAACCACAGGAGAGCAAATGCAGAGGCTGAAGCCTTTTGTGCTGCAAATGCATTTTGTGCAGCTTAGTAGCCAAGTGCCTGAGGGTCTTCTGTCCAATGGTCCAGGGGTCACTGTGCAGCTGGATGTGGTTTTACAGGTTTTTTAAAGTTTAAATTTTCATGGTCACCAGTATGTGATAAGGAGGTGGGGTCAAAGTTAAACCAACTCCCTGCTCACATGGCTGAGTCCCTTCTGTTCTGAAATCTGGAGCACAAATTTCCATTTTTGCATGATCCCTTGAAGGCCCCAAATCCATACATGCCGCAGGCAGAAAGCAAACCCGATCCTTTCCCTGTTTCTTAGGGAGGGATACAACAATCCCCAGGTGTCTGGTGAGAACCTGATTGGCCTCAGCAGGGCCCGTCGCCCGCACAACGCTATCTTTGTGAACTTTGATGACGAAGAAATCCCAGCAAAACCTTTGGATGCTGCTGTACAGACCTGGAAGAAAGTGTGCACCAATCCTGTGGATAAAAAGGTGGAGGAAGAGCTGAGAAAGGTACGTGCCTTACTCCTGAGCTGAGCACTGTACTGCAGCATGCTGTGCAGGAAAAATCTGCATGCAGCCATTTTCTCTGACTTCCCCAAAAGTTCTTGGTTATTGTAACTAACTGATACAGCAGGTGTCAGTAGACACCACTGACAGTGTTGTGTTCAGTTCAGTGATGCAAGTCAAGATTTGGGTCTGTGTTTGCAGCCAACTCACAGTAAGTTCCTTTTTTGTGCCACTAGTTCTTACATTACTGTTGTGATAGTTCATACTATGGGCCAAAAGCCCCAGTACAGAAGAAAGTCCACTTGGAAAGCTCAGCTGCCATTGGTAACTCACTTCCCACTGTTTCATGGTTGTTTCTTTATTATTTTAGCTCTTTGAAGTCCGTCCTGTCTGGTCTCGGAATGCAGTAAAAGCCAATATCAGTGTCCACCCAGACAAGCTGAAACTTCTGTTGCCGTACTTGGCCTATTACATGGTAAGTCTGTACATCTGCGCTCCTGCCTGTCTGATTCTCCCAGGAGGCAAAGCAAGGGGGCATCAGCTGGGTGTTCCTGGTCCTTTACTTTATCTTAGGTCCTACCACTAATTACCTGCGGTTAATGTTATGCAAAGAGAAAGAGGGAAGGAAACCCTTGCTTTTGAACAGAAGTTAAATCCATGGAGGATTCAATATCTATTTGCTCCATTGGTTCTAATCAGCTTTTCAATTCAGTCAAACACTCAAATTGACTGTCCATCTTGCAATGGTAGCAGAATTTTTCCAGACAAACACTTCATTGTGATCTTGCAAGTTAGTTTGTAAAAGCACGCAAATATTTGTGCTTTGATGCATTGATTGCCCCAATTTCAGTATACAAATACTGGTGTGGCAAGTGAGGGAAGAGCTGGTAAAAGAAATAATCTCTGGGCAATGAGGGAAAATACTAGAGTTCTATAAGAAGCTCTGCAACACTACTGGTTTTTTAACCATCTTACCCCATGTGTGTTTATGCAGTTAACAGGTCCTTGGAGAAGCTTGTGGGTTAGGTTTGGGTATGACCCCAGAAAACACCCTGAAGCAAAGATTTATCAAGTACTGGACTTCCGAATTCGCTGTGGAATGAAATATGGTAAAAGGGCCCAACCCACAGAGAAGCTCTCTCTGCTTTCTGGTTAATCCTGGTAGTACTTTTCATTTTATTTGTTTTTCAAACACTTTTGCCATATTTCTGCTCTGATGAAGGTGACACCTTTTGAGCTCACTGCTTACCGTAGTTCTTCTGTAAACACCTTTAATACTTTATTTAATAGTATGCAATATGTCTTTCCTCATCTGGCACATTCCAGACTCAGTGGACAGCAGGCTGCCTTTCCTCCTCTGTGTGTTCAAAGCCCAGGTGGATGCAGCACACCCATCTTCCCTCTCGCTCAGGGGAGGCACTGAGCAGTACATTCCATTGCTTACACAGTAGCTTTTCCTCAAGGACCTCAACATCTTGTGCAGGATGCCAGGTCTCAGACCTTGGGACACAGGGTTCCCCTGCTCTGATTTTGTTGAGGACAAGTTGAGGACAAGGACTTTCTGAGGTCATCTGATAAGTCCCTGACAGCTGGCCATCTAGTCAGTGCCATCAGATCACATCTCCCTATTTCCAAGTTAAAGGGTTTTGTGGAGCTCTTACTTCTCCTCTCCCCACCTTGCTGAAGTCACCGTACCCCAAGGATCAGCCATTCACACACCAGTCCAGCACTTCTGTAACTGAGCTAGGGATACTCTGCAGGGTGCTTGCCCTCAGTTCATTATTGGTTTTCTTTTTTCACCTCTAGGTTATGCCCCCAATGATATGCCCGTGAAAGCAAAACGCAGCACGTATAACTACAGTCTGCCCATCACTGTCAAGAAGCAAGGTATGCTGTGCCAGCAGAAGGGCTCTCCAGCTCTTCTCTTTCTTTCTTTCCCCCATCCTAGTCACAGGTGGTGAAGGGTCTCCCTGTGTTCTAGCTGAGCCAAAACTGGGGCTTTATTTCTGGTTATAATATGGTGTGAGAGTCTTGGATGTTCGTCTCACTGAGCCACAGTTATTTATTAGCAGACAGGAATTCTGGGAATTCAGCATTCACTTCAGTGGTGGTTCAGAGTAAGGGGAGAGTTGTTCTCTTTCCTTTGTCAAGGGAGAGTAAAAAATGTTAGAATTATGAACATATTTGCTGCGGAAAACCCAAGCTCACCGCCTTTCCCATAACTGTCCAGTAACATCTCTAAAGAACGAGCAGCATATGCTTAGTTGCTCAGTTGGTCTGGGTTTTGCTGAGAAGCAAAGTTGAATCAACATAGAGAAGTGACAGTACAAAGCCACGGAGAGTGAAAGATGTCCCTAATTAGGACTTTTTTTTTTTTTTTTTTTTTTTTTTTTTTTTTTTGTCCATCAGTAAGTCATACGGTCAGCGTACACGATCTGAAACAGGGGCTTGGTACGTCCGGTGCATCCGGTGCAAAAAAACCTGCCTCCAGCAGGTATAAACTGAAGGTAAGCCTTACTTTCTTTGACAAGAATCTTGAAATAGCTTAGTGAAAAAGGGGGAGTTCCCTTTCTGTCAGTCATTACGGGGACAGTTGTGAGTGAGCTGATGTCCTCGGGTTTACCTGGGAAGCTGCTCGTTGTACATGGCACTACAGAACTCCACCAGCTGTGCACTGAATGTTTCTTACGTGCTGCAAGATGGGATTGCTACTCTCAGGCCTGGTCTTAGACATGATGAGCATTCTGTTTCAGTTGATAAAATTTGAATTTTATGGGCAGTGAAGTGCAAAAAAATTGTGTTTATCAGGTTGTCTGCAAAATCCAGCAAGGCAAAATAAATTCTTGAACAGGAGTCTTATTCCCTTTTTGCTAGAATGAAACCTATGATCCACTGTTAGGCAGTAAGAGGCTGCAGACAGCTGCAGTTGGAAGAGATGAAGTGTGTTCTCTGCACAACTATGGCTGCGGTGAAATTTTACTGCATTCCTCATTCAGCTTTATCTTTTACTGTAGGCAGACCTATGCCTTGGAACTGATTTGTGTTGGAAGTGCCTTGTTCTTCAGTCAGTCCATTGGCAGTACTTCTCAGTTATGCCAGAGTTGTCCTGTTATGCCATAAAATGTATGTTAATCCTTTCCTTCTTTCCTCCTCTTAGGAATCCATCTACATTTTCCGAGAAGGAGCCTTACCCCCTTATCGGCAGATGTTCTACCAGCTCTGTGATTTGAATGTGGAAAGGTATTGCACGCTGGCAGCTGAGTCTTTTGTTAGAGCCTGATTTCAAAGCCTTTTGTTTATATTCAGTCCATTCCTCTCTTTCTCCTTGACCAGAAACTTAAGAGAGGTTTTGCTTCTGAATAAAAATAGAACAGGCTTGTCACACACGAACTTCCTTTCCCATATGTCAATTACCTGAATAACCAAATATGCTATTCCGACTCAGTGAAGTAAAATGGAAGCCACAGTCTGTCTCATTTGAGGAAGCCTACATCTGAATGTGGAAGGTTAACATTTCCTTTCCTTTTGCTGCTTTTCAGCCTACAGAAGATCATCCGTCGGAATGACGGCACAGAGTCCGAATGCACAGAGCGGGATGGGTGGTGCCTTCCAAAGACCAGTGATGATCTGCGAGATACCATGTCCCTGATGATAAAGCAGATCATCAGATCCACAAGACCTGGTAAGGATGCTTCTGTACATCCAAGTATATTACTGCCTTCCTGAGGGTGTTGAGAGGTTGTGGGCTGAATAAGGATGTTGCAACCAGCGCTGGGGCAGCAGCGTTCCTGTGTTTGCCGCCTCCTTCATGCCACACCTGGTGTTCTTTGTGTTCCAGCTCATTACAGTGTGTGAGCTGAGGCTGTTGTCCTACAGCGTGAATGTGGGTTGGGATTAGGAAATGCTGGGAGCAAAGGTTTTCTGTTTCATCTTCCCACTATCACAGCCTTCAGGTTTTAAATGTCTTTGTATAGTGAAAATCAAGACCTTATTCTTACTGATGTATCTATTGGTGGGATTTTCCTTTTTTTTGATATTATTAATTGAACAAGAAAGTGAGGAAATTATGTGTGATGCTGGTCCAAAGGAGTAAACCAGAGAATTAGGTCAGAATCAGGTAGGAGAGGAGGCACAGCACTGCAGATCTGCTGTAGCATTCCTGGAGTATGAAGACAGATTGTTCTGGGCTTGATCAGATTCTATTAAGATGGGCAACATTAGCTGTGCCCCTCGGGCTTCTGCCTTCCTCTCGCGTTTTATGAACTCTACTGCAAATGCCCCCAGGTTTCACTGAGAGAGGCATCACAGTGTCTGTCTTTCTTTCCAATTAAGCTCTATTCTCAAATACAACAAGCAGTGAAGATGGCAAAGAGCAGCTGGCGTATGAGTCTGGAGAGGATGAGGATGATGAAGAGGAGGAGGAAGAGGACTTCAAGCCTTCTGATGGGAGTGAAAATGAAATGGAGACAGAAATTCTGGATTATGTATGAACTCAGTGAGCAGCCTGGCTGCTGTAGGACAGAATCATCTCTGCCCCTGTTCCCTGAGTGCTGAGGGTTCAGCCACCACAGCCAGGCCGTGGGAAGGCAGAACTTGCTCTAAGATGCTGATGACCCGTCTGCACTGCTGATGGCCACCGTTCCTGATGTTAGGGAGCCATTGCCTCCATTGTCATAACTGCTGGCTAATAAGCCCTCAGGCAAGCTCAGCAAACTCCCAAGAGCGAGCCCAGAATCCAGACCAGCTGGCAGCACACCTGAGAGGAGGAGAAGCTGCCTTCCCAGATCTCTCCATGGTGGGAAGTGCGCCTTGGCTGGGTTGGTGGCCGTGTGGGACAGAGCAAAGGTGCCCGAGGCGGTGCTGGGGGAAGCTCTCGATGCTGCTGGGTCCCTCGGGCAGGTGCTGCCCTTCTGCTTGTCTAAGGGGAATGAAAATAGTGTGCTGTGACTTCAGCATTGAGCCTCGCTGGCCATCTTGGAAATAAAGCCAGCAAGAAAAAACACTTTCTGGCAGCGAGTAATTCCCTTCTGCGGGATGTAGCGTATGTTGTCCTCACTGGCTGATGCACGTCTCAGTTCTGTTCTTTCTTCCCCAGTGGTTATCAGGGACTGAAGGGAGCAGGCAGTGGGGCAGAGCTTCAGGTCCACAGAGGTTGCCCACTCTGGCCATTAGTCTGCCATTGCCAGCTGGACTGTTACCACTCTGTCACAGAAGTTCAAGGTCTGCTGGCATTTGCTGAGTCTTGTGCATTCCCCAGTGTGTTACGAGTGCAAGGTTTCTCGTTAGTGGCAATAACAGGCCCTAATGCCTGGTTTAATATGATTTCCGCCTCCTGTACTTGTGTGAGGCTTCAGCATTTTTTGTTAGGCTGAGGTATTTCCTTAGGTTTGGCCTCCAGCCCACAAAAGCAACATCTGCAGGGCTGTGGTGCAGTGGCACAGAGGATCCATAGGGGTGGATGGGTGTTGATATACACAGAGAAGCTGCTCCAGGGGACTGGCCCCTCAGGTGTGCACTCACCGTGGTTCACTGGGAGATCCTGGGCTTTGTCTTGTGCTTCTACCTCGGGCTGGCAGCGGGGCAGTGTGAGAACAAAGGCATTTCTAACAGCTGTACGACTACAGGGGGCTGTGCAGTGGTCAGTTGGTTTGGGGGCACCTCCAGCCCAGGTAAAGTGTGGGTCCTGGAAATGTGGGGATCCAGAGGCGTGAGGGGCTCTACAGTGGACTCTACCCTTCTTCATGCAATGCAACAGGGCACGAAGACAAAAAGAGAGATGCAGTGGACACAGCACTGCTGGGCTCAGGTATTAGCAGGCACCAAGAATAAACCCTCAGAAAAGCTAGGAAAAACACCTGAAGCCAAACTTTCTGTTAACAGGAGGCCTGTGGCCAAAGCAGCCAGAAATCCCTTGTGCCAGGGTTCATTTATTTCCCAGTCATTTTCAAAATTCCTCTGTCTGGGAAGACTGCAGTGATGGGGATGTTTAGTTCTGCCTGAGCAGGTAATGCCATTACCAGCCCTGTCTGTACAATATGATCCTTTCATTTCCAGAAGCTCAGGCTTTAAACAGATCTATGTAGCCAAAGGCACAGAGAAATTCTGGATAGTGCAGCTGCATCTTTAATGCCCACACTCAGAACCACCATACCATCCAGGTAATCTCCACTGCTGTCTGTGCAATTATAAAATAGAAAATAAACATACTGGCCATGGTAGGAAATGAACCCTCGAGCACCAAAGAATGACGCCTCAAATCAAGGCAAACCACTGTCTCCACACCATAAGGACCAACTATTGCTTTTGCTCCTAAAGCCACTGCTTATAGCAAAAGGTGTAAAACCAGTATATTGGATGTCACACTGGAAAATACAACTCACAGGTTCAAATGAACAGGGTTCATTTGACGATCGGGCACTGGTCCCTCAAACAAAAAGCCTCCATCTTGGTTCAAACGCAAACCAAGGCTCCCCTCCGCAGAGCTAACGGAAGGTATGAACGACAGGTTGACAACTTTCTCCAGGCATATGCTGGCATTTTGAGGAAGTAGGACAGGAGAACCCCTGCCTTGGGGCAGAGACGTTTGAGCCTCAGTATTTTATTGCAAAGACTAATTACATTGCTGTGTACAAGTCACACCAGGCAGTGTGCTCCTTCATTGAAGTGGTACAAAATACATATGGTACAGCCAGTCCCTCCGGCGACGCTGGGCTGCTGGGGGACACCGGCGGGAGGGGACGTGGGGATGGTGGGGGCCAGCATGGCCCCAGGGCAGGGGCTGGGGGCAGGGTGGGAGGCAGGAGGCTGCCCCTGCGTCAGGGAGCGGGGGGCTCCCATCATGTGCAGCGAAGGGC